CCATATATATATATGTATATATATATATATATATGGATTTATTAGATTGGCTTATAGGTTTAGAGGCTAGATAATCCACACTAGTCATCTGTAGGCTGGAGATCCAGAGGATCCAGTAGCTCTCAGTTCAAGAATCTGGAATCCACAGAGTGATAGGGACCGAAGATGCAGCCTCAGTCTGAGGCTGGTGGCTGAAAAGCCCCTTGGAGTGTCTCTGGTATACGCCTGCACTGAAAGGCTGAGGAGTCTGCTGTTCACAGGCAATGGCTACAGCAAAAGACATACCTGCTCAACCAGAACTAAACTTCTAAGCTCAGGCTACCTTTCTCCATCTTCTCTTTCTGTTCTGGCCTAGCTGTAATTCTACTGGATAGTGCTAGCCTCAATCAGGGTGGATCTTCCCCACTCAGTACGCTTGTTTACATGCCAATCATCTCTGCAAATATCTCCACAGGCACATCCGATGTACTCTACTAATCTCCTAGGCATCTCTCAATCCAATCTAGTTGACAAGATTAATTATCACAGCAGCCCTAGGAAATTAATATAGTTTCAAGTCACCTTTTCTTTGTTTTTATTATTATTAGATTAATTATTACTAGATTAATTATCACAGCAGCCCTAGGAAATTAATATAGTTTCAAGTCACCTTTTCTTTGTTTTTGTGACATTCCTTACCCAATCTTGTCTTACTTTGGATGACTGTTTGTTTTAATAGCCAGTTCTTTGGGTCAGGCATTATTATAAATTCTGTTTTTAAAAAATCACTATTTTACCCTCATGCATAATATTTACTCTGTATCGTTTGATAAATTAATATATAATGTGAGTTTTCTTGTTTTACCAAAGGATGCCAAATTAGTCCTGCTTTCTGGGTAAGTGAATAAAGTTTACAGAACCCCTTTTGTCAGTGTGGTGCTGGAGGAGCACTGCCCTTTGAAACATATCTAAGATGACATTGAGGTCTATGCTGGTTGGTGTCTGGTTCCATTGAAATGACACTTCCTGGCCCAGCTAATCGGTTATGTTTCATGCAACTATAACTGACAACGTTGCAACAGAGACTTGCAAGCATTTCTGTAAACTACTTCACATTTTTTGTGATGCAAAATGCCTTTAGCTTAGTAGACCCATGGTAGAAATGAAGACATCCAAATGAATTCTAAAAAATGTCCTCAGAACATCCCAAGACAGTGCCATTATGCTTTAGAAGGCTGCTGGTAGTCATTGGATCACACTGAACTGTTTTCAACTGAGGAAGCTGAGAGCTTCTCTTTCTGATATCTAGCTGGAAGCCCTTTAGTTGCTGACTCTGAAAGCGAAAGAAAACCGGGCCATTTGCACTTGGACAGGGAAACCCTGTTTGTGAATCAGGAGATATCTGCACATAAGTTGTAGAAAAGGACTGCTGCGGTATATGGAATGTTTCCAGATGTTAGAATAATGTAAAATATTCTAAATACTAACATCACTTATTACATTTGGTTTCAACATTTTGCTTTATTTTCTGCAATGATTGACTTTTCTCACTTAGTGATTTCCATTCTCCAGGATGCATAATGCTTACCTTTAAAAGTGTGATTGCCTAGCACTTCATTCCTGGGACAGGTTTCTTTTTAACAAGCTAAAACAGACATAACTAGGGCATGTTTCAGGCTGAGATGACAAATGTGAAACTGAAGAATATGGAAAGACATTCAACAATTGGTTTGGTAAAATACAGTGCTATATAATGAAAGTAAATGTACAGACAGTAATTTTAAAAGAAATCCTAGTGTGACGATAAAAGGACATGAAAAATAAATGTTGAAATGATACACCACTTAATGGCATCCTGTCAGGGAAGAAAGATAATATGATAACTTACAGAGCATCCCTGATCCTCTATATGTACTTGACCTATAGCTTTCAGAGAAACAATCTTTTTGTTTCATCTGGCTCATATTAAAAATAGGGAAAACAAAACCAGCATCCCCCCACCCCACCGCCACTCTTACACAGATGGTGGAAAAATCCATGCAATTTTTGACTGTCTGAAATTCTTTAAAGCAGTATAAGACAGAAAGAATTATTAAATCACTTTTCCATTTCATATAATGAAAAACTGCAACTACGGTGGGGTTGGGGCCATCAATTTTGGAGCAAGTGGGAGCTCCGATTGGTTCTACAGGCAATCAATCACCCGGCAGTCCTCGAGCCCTAACTCTGAAGACTTCTTGTTGTAGAGAAAAAGAAATTTAGAAAATAATAAAACTTAAATCATATTTTTCATTAGCTTTTGTATAACTCCATTTTGATGATATTTAGTATATCGTTTATGTACAAGATATTCATGTGGGTATTGGGAGGGTATATTCACACTCATTCACTCATGCTTTTCTTCCTCCATTTTATTAATTTGTTTACTTATTAAAAAAATTAACAAGTAGTTTGTCCAGGAAAGAGGATATAAAGGATCAGATCCTTCCTTGTACTCAGGCACCAGTGGGAATGAGATGAGCAAATAAAAGTCTGTGATGTATCCTAATAAGCATGCAATTGTTGTTAGGCATATTGGTAACATTAAATTGTGTATTTGGTCATTTCTAGATATGCTAGGACCAGATTCAGAACAGTTACAAGGATGACTATGATATTTTCTTACTTCTTTTGTTTCCTTAAAAATTGAGGGAGTGATATAGCCTTCTTTTTTTTTTTCCTCATTGAGTTTATTGGTACATTTTAGGTATACAGTTACTTTCATTATTGGGATGTTGTACCTATACATGACAGATCTTGGTTCTCATTTTTTCCCCTTGTCCCTGCTCTCCCTTCACCCCCTCCTCCCCTCCCCTTTACAAACACTTCATTTCCATTTTTTCATTTTCTCATATTTTCCCCTTATTAGCTTTCCCCTACCCTTCCCACTTTCCCTATACCATTAGCCCCTTTCTTCCTATTTCATATTGTCCCTTAGTGATACAGCCTTCTATTTTTATTTACTTCTGCATTTGGACTTGACTGTAATATAAAGGACATTTGATAGGTCATGTGGAAAAACACATGATACCAAATCATCAACAACTGAGTGAATCTGGTTAAGATGGGTCAGTTGCTTTTTGGGAGTGAAATCTTAGAGAAAGTTATTAAGAACAGTGTGTCTTCATAGCCTGTGGATATGTTGAATCCCTTATTAACAGTCTCCAGGTACAGAAAACATTAGTTACTTATTGGCAAGGGCTTTCTGCTCTAGGATCTAATATCTGGTTAGGGAGACTGGATAGGCATAAAAAATGTACCTAGTCCCATAAGTCACTTTATACTGTCTAAACTACCCCACAGGTAAAAGGGAGTGGATACTAAAGATTTGGGCATCTCCTAAAGTGTTCCTATGAATATTGCTACCCAAGCCTGAATTGTAATAGCAGAGCATGCTTGTGGGTAGGTAGCCTGAAAAATACAATCTAGGTTTCCATTAGAATTGGAGTTCCCAGGACAGGAATGGTTTCTCTCTTGTCTTACTACAAGCTCATTGAAAGTAGAATCTGTGTTCATACTGTCTGTAATAGTTTGGATCATGAATGCCCCCAAAAGGTCGTGTGTTAGTATCTTGGTCCTTAGGATGGTGCTCTTGGGAGGTGGTGGAGCATTTAGAAGGTGAAGCCTCCTGGGAAGTCTTTGGAGGCATGGCCTTGGAAGGGATTGTGTCAACCTGGCCTCTTTCTCTTCTGCATCCTGTTAGCTTTACAAGGTGAGTGGCTTTGCTATGTTAGACACCTCCGCCATGATGTGCTGCCTCACCATAGGCCCAAAAGCAGCAAGGACAATTAGCCATAGACTGGAATCTCTGAAACAACAAACAAAACAAACATTCTCTCTTCATGGGTAATTATTTCATGTTTTTGTCATATAATGTAACTAATACACCATAAGACTAGATGTTCCCTGGTCTTATCATAGCTGGAAAACAGTGATTAGAAGGGATTAATTGATCAGTTATCTTTCCTGTGGGACAGAGAATATGGACCTGAGCTGAGAGAGATAATGTGAGGAGATTAAATCAAGGGAGGCTTGAAAGAAAATTTTGGAACAGAGTGAACCCTGTTGCTGTGCATGGCATGGCTTGTGAGCCAGGGGCAGGAGAATGGATGAGATGTCCCCTCAGGGTGTCCTTCCCAAGCTTTCTATGGCTGAGGTTCTTTCTGTAGTGTGGCTGATGATACTATGAACAATTTTCTTGGTGAAGGCCATAGAATTCTACTTCTCCAGGAATCATGATACAAATCTGTATAAAAGCTGTATCAACAAAGAGAAATTCAGTGTTTTCTCTTTGATGAATTAGGAGCCATTTCTGTGTTTTTTCCTGGAGACTAGAGAGGAATATGCTGCAGAAAGATGTCCTTGCCAAAGGGAAGATTACTCTTTTGTCTGAGAAAATGCTGTTAGGTGGTGGCAATGTGGGTCTCTGAGTCTCTTCTAGAATAGTGAGAGACAAGAGGATAAAGAGATAAATTGTTCTTCATGCTAAAATTAAAGAATAGTCTGCTTGAGTAGAAGGATTGCATTCTCAATTTGAAGAGATGTGAGTATTTCCCC